GGAGCTGCAGACCATTTATTTATTTATTTGCTTGTTTGTTTGTTTGCTTCATTTATATCCCACCTTTCTCACCCCATAGGGGGACTCAAGGTAGCTTACAACTCCAGCAAGATCCAATGCCATTTAAAACATCACCATAAAACATGTCCCGTCAACTAGAACAATTAAAACAGCCAAGTAAATAAAACACATAGAATAATAACAGAGCAAAAACATATAAAATGCATGGTACAATTCATCCATAATCCTTGCTCATAATCCTTATTCAGACCATGTGATCAGGACTGGGATTGTTCAGGACTCAGATTCCATTGGAGTTTCAGACTAGACAGACACTCTATTAGATTGATAAGATTATAAGAGAGATGCCCTGTGTCACCTACACAGACAAACTACTTCAAATCCTATTTGTAACTAGATTGATAAGCAAAGTACCTGTATGCCAAACACATGAAGTTTGTGAGTAAACCAACTATGTTACTTCTAAAGAAGTCTGCTTATTTTGGTCTCTTAAGAGCATGATTTAAAGGCAAATACATTTTAAGGGAGAGTTGATGCTTTTGGGCAACTAAAAGAACACTTCTGAAACTTTGTGTGTGTGTTTTGTGCATTGGCATATCTTTGTCTCTAACAGTTCAAAGACATACCTAGGCATATCAGTTTAACAGCTGAGAAACCTAATTGCTTTGTATGAATGTTATTTTCTCAAAAGGTGATGACACTAACAGGTCATGCTTTTACCAAATGACATCTTTTTTCAAAGGGTTATAAGTTCTAACAAGGTCATGCCTTTCCAAAGATCATAAAATCTCCAAAAGGTTATATAAATTTCCATTTTCCAAAACTTCTAGTGCTGATACACAACAACTACAACAATTTATTTATTAATTTCAAACATTTATATCCTGTCCTTCTCAACTCCCAAGGGGGGATTGAGGGCTGCTTACAACTGGCAACAACAACAACAACAACATTTGATTATGGTCCAAAGACCCTTATTGCACCGTAGGTGTATAAGGTATGCAAAGTGAGGCTTCAAAAGAGTTCAAGGCAGAAAATGAAACAAGAACCCCCAAATCTACAGAGACCTGCACCTCCAAAGCTGGTTTCCCTTGCAAATCAAGCCCATCTCTTATTGATCATCCTTCGCATACAATAACATGAGTTTCCGACAAGTTCCTATATGTTCTGCTCTTCCCCCCTGGTAGTAAAAATGATCACCCATCATCCGGTTTATAAATAGGAAATAATTGCTAGTGAAAGAACTGGTGATGCATTCCGAAGCCTATTTTGGGTGCCTTGGTACAGGGGAGGTTGTTAATCACAAAGCAAATGGCAAGATCTTTGTCAGGGAAGGTACAGCAGGTGCTGAAATCATCTCGAAGGGGAAGAGGAGGGAGAGATGGAGGAGCAGAGAGGGACTTCTTTAGGGCAGAACGGCCAACGGAAACAGACACATCGTTGGCAATCCTTCCAGATGAGCAGAGCCTCCAGGTGTGTTGGCTTACTGCTCTCCTCAATGCAGGCAGCATCCACGTCTGCAGCCCAATAATACACCTGGGAGGCACAGAGTTGGAAAAGGGTGACCTAGAGGGCGGCACTGATTTAACAGAACTGTTATTTGGTCTTGCTATTCAAACTGTTAGGTTTTTTAAAAATTATTTTATGCACAAATGTTGTTCCCCATCTGTTTTGCTTTCATGTGTCGGGGATTAGCATAATGAATCAAGCAAACCAAACAACTTGACAGATAGGGGGTTTTTTTTGTCTTTTGATTCCCCGCTGTTCCCAAAAACTGGTGTGCAAAAGGAGGGAGGGAAAAGATCCTGATGGTTTGGGTTTTTAAAAAAATAATTATCTAAATTCATTTGAATGCTGGCACATACATGTATTTATTAGATAATAATAAAATTGTGTGGCCTCAACGCCACTTGTCAGATTGCCTGCCAAAAACCTGCTTGAGATTTGAGCAAAGCCTATTTGCATCAAGGGGGTGGCAGAAGTGGAACAAGATCAATTTGGTGGCTGTGCAACAGAATTCCCCCTCCATCCTCATCCATGGAATGATCCAGCTAGTGATTTGGTTTACTTATATGGTAGACTTCTTTTACTGATTGACTTGTAGTCTTTCCTTCTCCAAGTGCCATATGCATTTTCCCTATCTCACTTCCTCAGAGCATTGCAAAGGCTCCTTCTTTGAGAGCTTTGAAACAAAGGCTGGGTGGACATCTGTAAGGAGGGCTCTGATTGTGCCTTTCCTGCATGGAAGACTAGGGTGGGGCTGAATGGCCCTGTGATTCTCTGATTGCAAGCTGGAAGGCGGGGAAGTGTTTTGTTGTCTCACTGTGTGTGCAGCGATAAACGAATGATTATGATCATGGCGTGAATATAAAATTAAGTGCGATGAAAAAGTAATGAGCCATTAGAAAACTATCTCCAGATTCTCCATACAGTATTATTAGCTTTCACTAATTGGGCAGCCCCCTAATCTCCAGATCATGATCAAGGAAGGGGTTTATCCTGGGAAGTATGATTTGAGGGAAGGAAAAGTGTTCCTCTCTTCTGCTTTGGTCAGACCTCTTTACCTGGGATAATAGCCCAGCGTCCAATTCTGGGCAAAGCAAATCGAGAGGGATATTATTGACTCTAAGCTGGAAGAGGGAGACTAAAAGGATCAAAGGCCTGGAAGCCAAGAATCCCCCTCAGGAGCAGCTTAAAGGGCTGGGGATGTTCCGCTGGGAGAAAAGAAGGCTAAGAGAAGAAGGGGACATGAGAGGAGCCATGGAGAAATAAGTGAACAGATGTTGTAAGGAAGAGGGAGCAGGCTTCCGTTCTGCTGCCTGGAGACTCAATGGAGCCATGGGTTCAAATGACTGGGAAGGAGATTCCACCTGAACTTTATTATAGGAAGAGCTTCCTCATAAGAGCTTTTTCAACTAGTGGAACTCTCTACCTCGGAGTCCAATAGAAACACATTTTGGGGGGCTTTTAAACAGAGGCTGGATGGTCATCTATCAGGGTGGGCTTTGATGGTGTTTTTCCTGCATCATGGCAGAAAGAAGGGGGTTGGGCTAAATGGCCTTTGGGGGTCCCTTCCAATTCTAGGATTCTATGATCAGAGGCTAGATGGCCATCTGTTGGGTGGGCTTTGATGGTAATTTTCCTGCATAATGGCAGAAAGAAGAGGGTTGGGCTAAATGGCCTTTGGAGATCCCTTCCAATTCTAGGATGCTATGAGGCCGGATGGTCATCTGTCACATGAGCTTTGATGGTGATTTTCCTGCCTAATGGCAGAAAGAAGAGGGTTGGGCTAGATGGCCTTTGGGGATCCCTTCCAACTCTAGGATTCTATGAACAGGAGCCAGCCACACACTCCTTGGGCACCTCCTTCTCTGGAGGCTTCAAGCAGAGGCATCAGTTGCGCTTCTCCTGCCTGTGCTTCTCTTCCGACTCTGATTGTCCCCAAGGGGTCTGAATGGGGAAGGCCGCTCTAGAGATGCCAAGGACACCCTTCTTGGCCTTTGACCTCCCCCTTGGGCTTCCCGACAATGAGGTTGCAGTGCCATGAAGGGAGAGAGACAGAGAAAGGCTTATTCTTTAGAGGACAAAGGGATGCAGGTGCAGCAAAGTTTGCCCTGTTGCAGGAGCCGCAACAGTTGGCGCGGCCACAGTTGTTGTTTTGGCGGTGATTCCGGCACCCCTTTTGTGCTGCTTTGTGGGGAGCCCTTTGCTTCCCCCAATAGCATATGGGGAGGGGGGTGAGTCCCATGTCCCCTGAAGTTAGCCGCTTGAAAGTAGTAGGCTTTCCCCTTTGTATTCCTTCTTTCATATTTCCTCTTGCTTGAGCCTTCCTCAACAGTCAACATATCTAATCACACACAGTCAGCCGTCTCGACATTGGCATACTGGACTCTTGCAGATTTGATTATTCACATGTTTGATTAAAATGTCACCTCTCCTCCAGCCTAACCCTCTGGTCAATTTTGACTGGAGGAACTAGAGATTCCTAGAGAAAAATACACTTTCCTGACAGGTCTAAAGTCCAAGATCAACCACACAGTGTCAAGCACTCCTTCCTTTCTTGCTGACTTCCTCCCTCCTTGCTTGCTTCCTTCCTCTCTCCTTCCTTCCTTTCTTCTTCCTCCCTTCCTTCTCGTCTTCCTTCCTTCCCTTCTTCTTTTTCTCCATCCTTCCTCCCTTCTTCTTTCCTCCTTCCTTTTCTCCTTCCACTCTTCCTTCCTTCCACCTTTACTTCTCCCCTTCCTTCTTTCCTTCTTTCTTTCCCTTATCCTTTCCTCCTCTTCCTTCCCTTCTTCCTTTCCTTCTTCCTCTTTTCTTGCTTTCTTCTCTCCATCTTTCCTTCTCTCCTTCCTTCCTCTCCCTCTCTCTTCTCGCCTGGAGAAGTGCTCCCTTCCTCCTTCCCTTCCTTCCTTCTCTCCTCCCTCCTCTCCTTCCTTGCTTCTTCCTTCTCTCCTTCCCTCCTCTCTCTCTTTCTCATCTGGAGAGGTGCTCCCTTCCTTCTCTCCTTCCTTGCTTCTTCCTTCTCTCCTTCCCTCCCTCCCTCTGTTTCTAACCTGGAGAGGTGCTCCCTTCCTTCTTCTCTCCTTCCTTGCTTCTTCCTTCTCTCCTTCCCTCCTCTCCCTCTTTCTCACCTGGAGAGGTGCTCCCTTCCTTCTTCCCTCCTCTCCTTCCTTGCTTCTTCCTTCTCTCCTTCCCTCCTCTCTCTCTTTCTCACCTGGAGAGGTGCTCCCTTCCTTCTTCTCTCCTTCCTTGCTTCTTCCTTCTCTCCTTCCCTCCTCCCCTCCTTCTCACCTGGAGAGGTGCTCCCTTCCTTCTTCTCTCCTTCCTTGCTTCTTCCTTCCCTCCTCTCCCTCTTTCTCACCTGGAGAGGTGCTCCCTTCCTTCTTCCCTTCTCTCCTTCCTTGCTTCTTCCCTTCCTTCCCTCCTTCCCACCTGGAGAGGTGCTCCCTTCCTTCTTCCCCTCCTCCCCTCCTTCTCACCTGGAGAGGTGCTCCCTCTGGGGGCGGTGCGCCTTCTCGAGGCCCAGCTTGGTGAAGATGCCCACCAGGACCATGACGGCCACCACGCCGCAGATGATGTAGACGATGAGGTTGGTCTTGTCGCGCGTGGGGTCGTGGGAGGGGTCGGCGGGGCGGGAGGGCGCCTTCCTCCCGTTGAGCCAGGGCGGCTTGATGTAGTTGGTGCAGAGCGCCTGGTCGAGGCGGCCCTTGGGGTACTTGCAGCAGAAGCGGAAGCCGCAGGTCCCGCAGCAGAAGGGGTACTCGCGCACGCTGCAGTTGAAGGACGGGTCCCACTGGCCCATCACGTCGAAGTAGCCCCGGCACTCCTCGGGGCCCGGCGGCGGGGCCAGCGAGGCCGAGGAGGGCGCCTCCCAGGCGGAGGAAGAGGAGGCGGACGAGGGCAGCGGGCCAGCCGGGGCTCGGCTCTGGTTGCCTCCCGAGAGCATCACGATGCTGCCCAGGTGAGGCGGGGCGGCGGCGGCCGGAGGGCGAGGCATCTCTTGCGCCAGCAGGTAGCCCACCAGCAGCGGCAGCAAGCCCTTCATCCTCCTCCTCCTCCTCTTCTTCTTCTTCTTCTTCCTCCTCTTCTTCTTCTTCAGCCCTGCAGAGCCGCCTGCGCCGCAATCCCACGTCGTTGCAATGCCACATCCAAGCCCATGCGGCCCCCCCTCTTTTCCGCTGCCAAACAGAGAGAGGAAAGACAAGAGAGAGAGAGAGAGAGAGACCCCTTGCAAGGCTGGCTTCCCTTTGCAGTCTCTGTCTCTCTCTCTCTCTCTCTCAATTCGCGGCACTTGTAGAGCGTCAAGGAGGAAGGAGGAGGCGCGCACAGAGAGATGCAAAAGGGAGGCAAGCAGCAAAGGGGGCTCGCTCTCGCTCTCTCTCGCTCGCTCTCTCCTCCAACCCTCCCCTCCCAACTTCTCCCGCTAGGAAACGCTCCCTACTTGGAGCAATGCCTTCCCTTTCGGATGCCGCACCGCATAGGAGGGCTTCCAGCCTCCAATCCCGCACACCTTCTCTTTCAGGTAAGGAAAGGAAGGAGATGGGGAGGGGGGGGGGATTGAAGGGGAAGGGGAAGGGGCGGGGCTTAGCGCCGAGGGGCGGGGCTTAGGCAGCTGCCACAGGCATCCGCAACAGGTGCAGCCACTCTCCTCCTTTGGCTTTTTTGGAAGCAGCAGCCTTTCTTTCTGCAAAAGTGGGAGGAAAAAAAGCAGAGCCTTTGGGTTTCCTGCCTTTTGCAGCAAAGGGCCTTTCCACACAGCCATGTCAAGTTAAGCATAAGCCAATAATAATAATAATTTTATTTATTTATTTATCGTGTCAGTATCAACCAGACAATTGTATTACATTTTAAACAATTTTTTAACAAACAGACAAAACAGAGTTTGCAAGCTTGGTAGTTGATTAAATGTCCGTTGACCAGTATCTGGCCACTTGGAGTGCCTCTGGTGTTGTGGCAAGGAGGTCCTCCATTGTGCATGTTGCAGGGCTCAGGTTGCATTGCAGCAGGTGGTCAGTGGTTTGCTCTTCTCCACACTCGCATGTCGTGGATTCCACTTTGTGGCCCCATTTCTTGAGGTTGGCTCTGCATCTCGTGGTGCCAGAGTGCAGTCTGTTCAGCGCCTTCCAAGTTGCCCAGTTTTCTGTGTGCCCAGGGGGGAGTCTCTCATTTGGTATCAGCCATTGGTTGAGGTTCTGGGTTTGAGCCTGCCACTTTTGGACTCTCGCTGAGGTGTTCCAGCGAGTGTCTCTGTAGATCTTAGAAAACTATTTCTTGATTTAAGTCATTGACGTGCTGGCTGATACCCAAACAAGGGATACCCAAACAAGGGATGAGCTGGAGATGTCTCTGCCTTGGTCCTTTCACTAATAATAATAATCTTTATTTATACCCCGCCACCATCTCCCCAAAGGGGACTTGGGGCGACTAACATGAGACCAAGCCCAAAGGTACAATACAGCAAAATAAAATACAAAATGCAGACAACAAAAATACATCAGAATAAAATACATACAGTACCAAAATAAACTGAATAAAGGAAATTGACATATTATAAAATCGAACACAATGGGCAGGCCAAGTGGACAAGGTAAAATGATAAAACCCTGGATGAGGTAGGAATAGAAAAAGTGTAATTGAGAGGACTCCAAAAGGGATGTGATGCAGCGGCAAAAAAAGCCAGCAGGATATTGGCCTGCATCAATAGGAGTCTAGTGTCTCGATCCAGGGAAGTCATGCTACCCCTTTATTCTGCCTTGGTTAGACCACACCTGGAATAGTGTCCAGTTCTGGGCACCACAATTGAAGGGAGATGTTGACAAGCTGGAATGTGTCCAGAGGAGGGCAACTAAAATTATAAGGGTCTGAAAAATAAGCCCTATGAGGAGATGCTTAAAGAGCTGGGCATGTTTAGCCCGAAGAAGAGAAGGCTGAGAGGAGACATGATGTATAAATATTTGAGAGGAAGTCATAGGGAGGGGGGAGCAGGCTTGTTTTCTGCTGCCCTGGAGACTAGGACGCGGAACAATAGCTTCAAACTACAAGAAGAAACGCGATTCCATCTGAACATTAGGAAGAATTTTCTGACTGTGAGAGCTGTTCAGCAGTGGCACTCTCTGCCCCAGAGTGTGGTGGAGGCTCCTTCTTTGGAGGCTTTTCTACAATGGCTGAATTTGTCAGAGGTGCTTTGAATACAATTTTCCTGCTTCTTGGCAGGGGGTTGGACTGGATGGCCCATGAGGTCTCTTCCAACTCTAGGATTCTAATACCAAGGCAGGTCATCCACAAGATCGGCTTTGAACTGAATTATCTGAGCCCACACTGCCAGATAACCCAGTTCAATGTGAATTTTATACAGCTGTGTGGAAGGGCCCTAAGGCAAGATCAGCCAATCATCTTCTCTCATCACTGACTCTTTCTAGTAACACTCTAACTCAGAACTGAGACTATTATTGGAGACAGTCTGAAAAGAAGAGCAGAAGAACTGTCTCACGTAGAGCAACCTGGCATAGAACATCTTAACTAATAACACTCTAGCCTAGAACCAGTAAGATTCTTTGTGCCGCAGTCTGAAAAGAAGAACTGGGGAAAGGGCTCTTATAGCTTAGAACCTACTGGTTAGAACACCCTAACCCAGAGCATCATGACCTAGAATAGCCAAACTTATATTACAGCCTAAAACCAATAAGATTCTTTGTGCCACAGTCTGAAAAGAAGTGCTGGGGAAAGGGCTCTTATAGCTTAGAACCTACTGGTCTAGAACACCCTAACCCAAAGCCTCATGGCCTGGAATATCCAGACTTATATCACAACCTAGAACCAATAAGATTCTTTGAGTGGCAGTCCAAAAAAGAGCTGGGGAAAGGGCTTTTCTGTCTTAGACACTTCTGGTCTAGAATGCACTATCCCAGAGCCCACAACCTAGAACATCCTGAGTAAAATTATAGCCTAGAAGCAATAAGATTCTTTGTGCGACAGTCCAAAAAGAGCTGGGAAAAGGGCTCTTCTATCTTAGAACATTATGATCTAGAACATCATATTCACTAGATTCGTGACCTAGAACACCTGAACCCAGAGCCCCATGATCTAAAACATCAAGCCTTAGATTATAACCTAGAACCGATACAGTTTTGTGCTGCAGTTCAAAAAGGAAAAGTGAAGAAGGGCTCTTTTAGCTTAGAACCTTCTTGTCTAAAATGCCCTGACAGAGCTTTATGACCTAGAACATCAGGCTTTAGATGATAACCTAGAACTAATAAGATTTTATGTGTGACAGTCCAAAAAGAGCTGGGGAAGGGCTCTTCTATCTTAGAACTGTCTAGTCTAGAATGCCCTAGCCCAGGGCTTCATGACCTAGATCATCATGATTTAGATCATGGTCTTAAACATCCCAACCTAGAACCTCATGACCTCTGCCATAGATGTGTCAGGAGAGAATGCTTCTGAACATGGATCAGATCCTAGGATAAAGGGCAGTGTGGAAGGGCCCCAAGAAGCAGAGAGGAGAGGGAGCAAAAGGAAGAAAATGAGGGAAGGAAGGAGGAAGAAAGAGAAAGAAAGGAAGAGACAGGAAGGGGGAGGAAAAAGGAAGGAAGGTATGTGAGGGAAATGGAGGAAGGAAAGAGAAGAAGGGAGGAAGAGAAAGGAAAGGGGGAAAGGAATGAAGAGAGGAAGGAAGGAAAGAAAGAGAAAGAAGGGACAAGAAAAGAAGAGACAGGAAGGGGGGAAAGATGAAGAATGGGAGAGAAAAGAGCAAAAGAAGGGGAGAGGAAGGAAAGAATGAAGGAAGGGGGGAAGGTGTATGAGGGAAATGGAGGAAAGAAAAATCAAGGGAAGAAGGGAGGAAGAGAAAGGAAAGGGAGGAAGGTATGAAGAGAGGAAGGAAAGAAAAAGAAGGGACAAGAAAGAAGGGAAGAGTCAGGAAGGGGTGAAGGATGAAGGATGAGAGAGAAAAGAGCAAAAGAAGTTGAGAGGAAGGAAGGAATGAAGGCAGAGGGGAGGGTGTGTGAGGGAAATGGAGGAAAGAAAAAAAGCAAAGGAGGGGAGAGAGGAAGAGAAAGGGAAGGTGGGAAAGTATGAAGGGAGAAAGGAAATAAAGGGAAAGTGGACAAGAAAGAAGGGAAGAGACAGGAAGGGGAGAAGGTTGAAGGACAGGAGAAAAAAAGAGCAGAAGAAGGAAGAGGACAAGGTGTGTGAGGGAAATGGAGGAAAGAAAACAGGGAAGGAGGGAAGGGAGGAAGAGAAAGAAAAGGGGGAATGGCATGAAGAGAGGGATGGAAAGAAAGAGGGAGAAAGAAGGGGTGAGAAAGGAAGGGAAGAAAGAAGGGACATCCTTACACTGACAGGTCTGGAGCTGCTTTGAGGACAGGAAGGGCTTGAGATCAACCTTCGAACCTGGCCTCAAACCGCTGGGGTTGGATTCCACCTCAGGCTGGATCTACACTGCCATATAATCCAGATTTGTCATACAGGTGAACTGCCTTGAACGTTGTATGAGTCTATGCTGCCATCGAATGCAGTTCATCTGCATTCTGAAACCGGATTATATGGCAAAGTAGATGTGTTTGGCCCACAACAATCTACCATCATTTGGGAGAGTGGCTGGGAAAGGTGGCCTTTTGCCTACCGGCTGTTAGGAATTGTGGGAGTTGAAGTCCAAAACACCTGGAGGGCCAAAGTTTGCCCGTGCCTGGCTTATACTGTAGCTTCATTGCTGTTTGATTATTCTTATGCATTCATCATCAAACAAAAAAACAAAACAAAACATGATAATTTGCACAACTTTTGCATTTGCTATAAAAACAAGCCTTTCTGCAGTCAACATTCATGGATGTCATTTCACATGTCCTTTTTATTCCACTTTTCCTCACTCCCAACCCCAGCTCTATCGAGTCAGATTTTAATTAGCCGGAGGATTCTCCAGATGGATCCTCATTCCCTGTGTGTTCCTTGGCAGGGCCATTCTGTCATGTCTCCTTGAACACCACTATTCTGAGCTGTTGCCACATCTCCTTTCTCTGGAAGGAGCATCTCGTCTGCTCTCTTCCACTCTGTGTGGCTCCTCCTATGGATGCTTTAAGTCTCCTTGTAGAGGGACAAAGCGGGGTATAAATAAACATAATAAATAATGTGTTGTTGAAGGCTTTCATGGCCGGAATCACTGGGTAGCCGTGAGTTTTTTGGGCTGCATGGCCATGTTCCAGTAGCATTCTCTCATGATGTTTTGCCTGCATCTGTGGCTAAAGGTTCTGTTGGCAGTGAGGCAAGTGGTGTGTGTGTGTATCACCGTGGAATGTCCAGGATGAGAGAAAAAACTCTTGTCTGTGTAAAGCAAGCATGAATGTTGTAATTAGTAAGCTTGCATTAGCATTGGAGTAGCCATGAAGTTTGCAAAGTCAATCAGTGAGAGTATCTGCATGGAGGTAATAATAATATAATAACTTTATTTATATCCCACCCTATCTCCCCAAGGGGACTCAGGGAGGCTTACAACAAATATTTACAAAAAAACTAGATTGAGACAAAATAATCAACCCCACCC